ATTTTTTTATTCTCAGGTAAAGGTTCTACTTGCTTCTGTGATTAAGTTAAAGTCTGTCCAGAAAGACGTGAACTTCAGGATCAGACATTCTAATGTACCATTTAAGTTCTGTTTTCCGTCATCATGGTAAAATTTGTTCTGAACGGTCTGTGTGGTGACTTGCAATCACTATTTTTGATATAGTTATGTCTAATTTCCTGTAAAATAAAACTATCAAATCTAGGCCATAGGTTGGCAGAAGTAAAGGGCAATCTGCTGAGATTAATCAGATTAAAGAGACTGAGGACATAGTTTGTGAAGTTGGCGATATGGTTAAAGTGACAAAGCTTATTGGTCAAATCCGTAATGAAGGAGTAGAAATGATAGCGAGGGGTGTCACTATCTACGTAGATGAACGAATGAGATATGCGATTATGCATGCCTCCCATTTTGGACCAGTTCTAATTTCTCGTCATTTCAAGCAAGAAACAGTAAAACTTGGTCAGTGGCTTTCAGTTGCAGTAGAACCAAATCGAGATTACTTGCTTGTAAGTGATAGAAGTTTTTTTACTTACCAGTTATTTGAGAATACTATTTTTAGCTGGCTTACATTATTTCAGACATCTGAACGTACCAAATGTCAATTTGCTGATGCGGTTGAACCTGAAATCATTGAGGAACTGTTGCCTACAGGCACGTCACTTACGAGATTAGGTGTACTAACTACACGTATCCAGACGCCGGTCTTCGTTGGGAATGCTTCGTTTGCAAGCTGTATAGGACTGAGCCCTTTATTGGGTCGCGTATTTTTGAAAGAAAGCCGTTAGTACCTTACATCGAATTGATTATTTTAGTTTTTCTTTTTCCTTTTTGTAAAAGAGCGCGAAATTATATTCTTCTGATTTTTTTGCAGAGCTGTTGCTGAATGTAACTGGTAAACATTTCGGTTAGAAAATCTTTATACATTGAGTTTTTGGTTTGAATGGAATGTATTCTCTTGCTAGCTTGAAATTGGATGCATATTTCGATCATGATTGATCATTGTTCAAAAGCTTTGTTACAAAAAATTTCTTACGGTATCCAGTTTTCAGCATGCGACAAAAAACTATGTACGATGGGAGTATTTTCAAAAATTTTTTGCAGAATATTCTAGTTTTAGTTTGCAAAAAAATCAATTTAAATCCTTTGACTTGGGTACGTTGTGATGTTTCGCCAGTTGAGCCATCACATTCTAATTTCAATACATTTTGGGAAGCAAGGACAATTGGTTTCCAGGATTCTACAGATCCCAGTCTTAATCAGTCAGTCAAACGTTATACGGTAATTTAAATCTTGCGAAACATTTTTCCTCATTGTAATTTCTTCAGAATTTTTTTGTCAGGCAGTTTTGCATAAATTGGTAAGACTTGTGTGTAGAATTGATGAATACATATGAAGTGCTGATGTGATTCTTTAGAAAAATACACTTGTACTAAAATTAGTTTGAATTGCTGTGAGCATTGTTAGCCAGAAAATAAAATTGCAGTATTGCCCAAAAAACTTAAGGTCTTATGTTGAATGAAAATGAACATATGGTAGAAATCCGACATTTCTACAAATTTGCTAATTAGTCTAGATTAAACTAGTACCATTACTTTCTATTCACTTATCCAACTAGAAAGTTATAGTATTGGTTTTTTAATGAGCAAATAATGAAAAACATTTGGTCTTAGTTAATAAATATCTAATAGTTTTTTAATTTATTTCAAAATTATTTTCAAGGGAAGTGATTGATTTTTTCTAAAAATTCTAACACTTTCTAATTCATGTGATCAAGTGTTTCTAATTTCCAGGGACGATTTATTGGTTTCAGTGAAAGAAATGTTTGTATTTTACAATTATTCCATAAAAGAAGAAATGCAGGCTTCGCCTTAGTTAATTCTTACGATTTCGCTCATACTGTTGATGAACATAATTTGAAAAAGGCTGAGGCGATTCAGGTTAGTCGCTTAACAGTGCTTGAAAAATAGTTTTAACTTAACCTGAACAGAAGAGATTATTCTAATCAGAATTTCTTCTATGGAGTAAGTACAAACGATGACTTGTTCTGTTGTTCCCTTATTTTTGTGAGAAAATTATTCAGCGCTCTTCATAATTCTTCTTTTGCTAGGTTTATGCTGCATCTCAACATCCAGTCTATCCGGAACTTTGCGTTCCTGCTTGTTATGCACGTATAGTGAATTACGGATCGAATAAAGCGAGTGTGGAAACCGCAGATGAGATGTTTGCGTCTCTTGTTTTCAACGAAACTAGTATCCGATATGGATCGACAGCAGGCGATGTAGTAGTAGCACCGGACAGCAAAATTAGTAACATTGTTAGTTTTTCTGTTACCGTAGGTGAAAATGTGTTTAAGTTTTATTAGATATAGTTGAAATTTAAGTAGTTCTGCTGGTTTTGGTGCTACTCATTGTATAAAGTTGAAAGAAACATGAAGTGAGGACAATGTCGTGGTGACTTTTTCAATGACAAATGAAATTCACCTTTTTAGTTACAGAATTCTACTTGCGATGACAATTGCGAAACGATTGATCTCATTACTCACTTATTGGCTCACAAATCGGTTGCAAAAATAATTGAGAATACTGATTCAGTCCTTTTTAATGATTTGCTTGCTTTTCTTTCTAAATATTCTTGATTTTCTCTAATCTCTTGTAAAGTAATGAGTTCTTGGCTACGTGCATGGCAGTTGTTTTAAGGAGTCTAGTAGATTGGCGAGCTGTTTGATTAGGATATTTCCATATAGTAGTACAAGCAGTCTGCTCAATTAGGAGAAGAAATTGAATTTGTTGATAACTTTGAAGGCATAAGAAATTTGCGGTTTCAAAGGACACTAAAATCTGTCAGTCCAGTTGTTATTCATCGTTTGGTGAGCTATCTTAAAGAACGACTGTCATAAAAATATTTTCAAGTCAGGTCAATAGATTTGTTTATAAATATATTTTTGCCAATCATGTGGGTAATTGATTTGCTTTTATTTTATTGTATTACTTGCATTTGTATTTATCATGGACAAAGAAATCATCGATTTCTTTCTTATATTTGTTCTTCCTGTGTTTTCAGATCTGCACATTAATGTTTGATATTTTTTATAAGTGAGAAATTGAGTCATACAATGATTTGGAAATAAATTCTGTTTGAATGGATTTGTTTTTTTGTACATTACGCTTATGGTTAACTACTCATCTCTTCTATTTGAGAATTTCTAAATTTAGTTTGTTGTCATAAGCATTCTGATGTAAATTGACGTACCACGATTTTATAGTTCTCGGTTTGAGATTCTTTCATTTCTAGTGGAAATGTGCTGGGCTTTTTTTTTTGTGTATGTACCTAATTAAATGGCTTGACATGTCATTTAAATTCTCTTTTGGTTTAATTACAGGGATTTAAAGACGTGGTTCATATTTTGTCGGTTATGGCAGATGAATATTCAGCTCAGTTAAAGAAGGTAGGCTGATATAATTGTGTAAAAGTTGCTAGGATTTTGGTGTGGTACTTATTACTTAGAAGAATAAAGTCGTTAATGTTTTCATTTAATTTTTTAGGCATTCAGAGATTTGCAAACCAAAATGGTGGACACAAATCGGCGATTACAGTTAGGGGAGTCATTAAAAAAGCAGCAAGAACAGGTATTTATTCTACAAAGAAAAGTTGCTATTGTGCCAAATCAGGGTGTTTGTTTTTCTTGAATTTTATTTTATGTGAAAAATGCTTATTCAGTTTACCTCATTGCCTATAAAAAATGGACAAGCATTTTTTACGTTTTTGAGATTTGGCATGTTTATCAATCTTTGTTTTTCCAGAAATAACGATGCTGTATTTGAGAATTAATGGCAGTGAAAATAAATTCTGGTGTTGTTTATAGAGGCGACGAATATCTCAATTAACCAAAAGTCATCTGTTGGAACTAGACAAGGAGACTCCGGTGTATATGTCTGTTGGCCGCATATTTGCAAAAGGAAGTGTTGACTCTGAAATTGCCAGGCATGAAGAAGAGGTAAATTGAAAGTGCTGTGAAATTTATTTTAGGTATATGCTGGTCTTTAGTGAATTATTGAATTCCCAAAAATTTTGTGTTCACGGCATCTCTCCTGAATTTATTACCGTATTACTTCGAAATGATCTGTTATTCGTTTTTAAAAATCGGTATCTGTATCTTATTTTTAAGTGAATTATATTATTTTGAGGTGGAAATTTTTGCAATTGTTAATTATTAATTGGCACAAAATGCATCTTTGGAAATATACTTCCTGTTATAAGAATAGTAATTCATCCTTATATCTTTTTAGTTACGCTAAAAATTAATAATTTTCAGATTTCGAAAGCGAATGAACGAATAATCTCAATAGATCATCAAAAGAAATATTTAGAAAAAAGTTTGGCTGAGTCAGAAAAAAATATTCGGGAACTGGTCCAGTCTCGACCTTGAAGAACTTTTGTTGTGTGAACAGAGTGGATTGATAATTTATTTTTGTTCTGAACATTTTTGTTTCGATAAACTATTGTTTTTTGAATCAGTTTGTTTTATAATTTCTAAAGTCTTTTCTTTTACCTTGAGTTTCGGTATCGCAACAGTTTTCAGTTGAGTTTTGAGTGAAGGCAGATCGCGAAGAGATTTTAAAAAATTTTATGTTTTGCTTTGACCATGCAGGCATTGAAAGCATATTGCATTGTTTTTTTGACATCAAGTTTTTACTTTAGTGTTTTTTTTTTTTGAGTTAGCTCATCCGAGAGATCAAATACATCATTTCAAATAAAGATTAGAAGCAAATTGATGTATGCGAAAGTATAAGTCACAAATCATGTTGTTCATGGAAAGTACCGGAAGGCATTCTATTAATTTGATTGTCTGTGTTGAATGATAAGCATTTGTCCGTCATGTATGAGACTTTTCTTAACCAGAATAAGGCTCTGATATAAAATGCATATTGTTTTTTCAGTTTTTCTGACTTTTATTCGATAATTTTTTGAATATGAGAAGGAACTAGGCTATCTGATGTTACCGTTATCAAGAGTTACAGAAATGTCTGGGAATATTTCGTGTCATTTCTCACTTATTGTCTTTATTTTTGCTTCATTAGAAATACTTCAGGGCGTGACTCAGTATGATCATCCCAGTGCGATGCTTCACGTGTGGTAAAGTTATTGGCAACAAATGGGACGCTTATTTGGGATTATTACAAGCAGAATATTCTGAAGGTCGTTATTTTGTTCTTTTTATTTCTTCCTTTACCCACTGGGTGTTTCTCTTTTGTTACAATGATAAATTTTTTAAATATCGTTGGCAAATAAAGTTGGATTAGTCTGAAGATTATATTTTTAATTCAGGTGAAGGTCTCATTCACCAGTTCATAATTAATACTTGAGAATTGGGAAAGAAACTCTGGAGAACAAACAAAAAGTACTTGTTTAGTAATATGCTACAAGTTTGGAGAGTTATAAATTTTGTATGAGTAAATCTAATTTGTCTTGGTTTCAGGTGATGCGCTTGATGCTCTGAATTTACGTCGTTATTGCTGCCGAAGGATGCTTTTGTCACATGTTGACTTAATCGTTAAGTTGCTTGACTATCATCCTCTGGAAAAATGAATCAATTGTAAAGCAGTTAAAATATATGCAGTATATGTAAAAATGAATCGTTTGCAATTTTAATGTTGTTTGTCTTAATATATAATTTGTTTATCAATTTTGTCTAAATGGAAAATAAAACTGCGTCATTGTATTTGCTCTTACATTTTACTCATACTCAATGTTTTTTCAAGGTATAGCTTATATTTGTAGCTAATATAGTTCAGGTTCTCAGTAAGTTAGAAAAAAGTTTTTTCCCCTGCTATTTTTATTTATGTTTATATAACCAATAAATATGCTATCCTTTTCTATGAAGTATTGTTTTCTAGAAAAAATTTTCAGTAACCTAGTTCATAAGAAATTGATTGTATTTCTTGACCTTTATCAAATTGACCATTATTTATTGATGAAGTCTCTTCATTCAAAATTCTGTATGCATTGTTGAGTTGTGGGATTGTGTAGGGATGCAGATTTAGGCTGAAAAAGTGGTATCTGGGCAATATTTTTCATAAGTCAGTCTCGTTTGTTGGTTACCCATTTCAAGATTTAGGCTGAAAATTTATTTACCCATTCAGTTTTTATTATCTTTCAGCGCATTTTATTACCAGTCATTCTAAATTGTAAATAATGGCATTTTTTTTGATGAACTATTCAAGCAGTATGAAGTACTGATAAGATAAAAACATTTCTTTGAATTGCTCATTATTTTAAGATACAACTTTTGTAATTGTGCATTGGAAGGGTACTGGAATTAGAATATAGTTCATGTTATTTTATGAGAAAGTAAAGTTAGAAATCGATATAGCTCTAATCTTGAAGTATATACAAGTGAGGGAGTGGTAACTGTGTGATTCATATTTGCATATTTGAAAGAATTATCCAGGAAAATAGAAAGGTCCTTATAGTGAGCCACTCTTTCAGTAATACGGAAGGCAAAAAGAAGATATTGTGATAACATGTAAAGTGGCGTCTAATTAATAATTAATCCAATTATTACATTTAGCGCTGAAGTCATTAGAGAATTGGAGATGACTCAATATTTCTGCAGAGGTCTATTACTTACAATTGCTAATTCATATTCTCTATTTACTATCATTTTGTTCATTTTTCAATTCTTTTAATGCCTTTTGAGCTTTTCTCAGTTTTTTTCTCGTCTTGCTCTGTCCTTTGCTTAAATGCTTGCTCAAGAAAAGCTTATTTACTTTACTTTTAAAAGATTTTCAAAATGCTGAATATTTTCGAAACAAACAGAAGAATAATGAACAATACATTTTCAGGAATGTCAAATTTGATTACATATATATTGCTTTTTTTTTGCATTCAGATAATATACACTTGAAATTATTACATTATATTATCTGATAAGTGATGAAGGAAACTAAAGTTGCTACACTTTAACAAGCTTAGGTTTTTTGCTTGCAAAAAGTCTCGCTTATATTTTTATTTTAAACTATGACCTTTACAGGTTATTATTCACTTTTGTAATATTGTGGCAGCAAATTTCTGTTGATCATGTTGAGATGATAGACGGAAACCATTTTTTACCGAAATATGAAGAAGCTGTTAAGAATGATAACAGCGATCCAAATGCTCCAGTTGTCACTACTACATCGTCACCATCCTTATCACCATCATCTGCTAGTATAATTAAAACATCGGAAGTAACGAATGGCTGCATTACTGCTACTAATACAAGACCATTTAATGTCAATGTTATTTCTACAACTGCACCAATTTTTGGACCAAATCCCGTTGAAACGGACTGCTTATTCTGTCAGGTTTCTGTGTTTTTTGTACATCGTTTACTACCAATTATAATTGTTTTCTTCAATTTTTTTCTGCCATTCGACTTTAGGTTTTTATTAATATGAGCTTTAAATAAATCTACTTAGTACTAAATGATGCGTATTTATCTTAATAAATGGTTGTAGAAAATTATAAATAGTTGTAGATGGATCATAGTATTATATTTGAAAATGAGAAATTAGTCATTATTTAAAGTTTCAGGCTCATATTGTAACATCAACACAAAAAGTAATTGGCACTTTACCATGGATTATTATGGGAATATGCTTTTTACTTGGCTTTTTTGTACTTATTCCTTGGTGCCTTTGTTGTATTCCGTTTTGTATGGATAACTATAGGGATGTGGTGCACACATGTCCATGCTGTAAACGATCACTTGGACGATTTACTAAATTATAAGTAATTACTAGATTTTGTTTATTAAATCTATGTCTTTTTGGCTTGTGTATTCAATTACTCAAGAATTTCCAGCAGCCTTTCAAATCTTGTTTGCCAAAGTCTAGCACAAATTATTGCCTTTATTATTATTCGTGACTGTGTATCTTTTATAGTAATATCTAATACATAAAAGTGAAATCTGTATAATATGTCAAGGATTTGGTGTTTACACTACTTTAGAATAAATGAATAGTAGTTCCATTTAAAAAAATGTATTTCAGCCACATTCACTGCGTTCAATTAAATAAATCAGATGCGGAAACTTATCAATTTTGAAGCTTACTTATTCTAGAAACTATTAGTATGGATCAAATGACTTGTGCTCATTAAGTGATCGTAATTTAAAATTTTGAAAAAAATAATCAAAATTAAAGCTTGTGTGTGAAATCTAGTCTTATTAAATTATGGATAACAATTTTTATTCATAAATTTCAATATTTCAAAGTAATTTATGCAGACATATGAATAAAAGAGCATATTTATAGATGAACAAATTCACAAAGCACTTGTGTAAAAAATGCAAAATACATAATCTAGTCTTTAATGTTATATAAGGAAAAATTTGATGATAGGAAAGCACAAGTAATATAAATTGTAAAAGTTAATATTTACTCATTTTTGCCCAGTCTTCGATAGTTACCAATCCATACCTTACAATTAGAGCAGTAGTGATGCGCATCTTTGAATGAATCCATCAAAAACGGTACCCATAGAAAGAATAAAGGTAGTATGCAAATCCCAGCTATTAAAATGATGAAAAAAGTGATCCAGGTGAAAAGACCAGGCACGAATTTGACTTCTGTGACATTGTGAATCTAAAGTTAGATTATTCTTGATTACTTGTGACTCTGATAAAATTGCTGAACTATATCCGAGAGGGGAACATGAAGGTGATCAGTATTGAATTATTTATCATTTGACAGCAATTAATAATCGAATGAGATGGGCTTATTTGCTTTCTGTCAATAAAAAACAAAAAAAAAAAGATTTGGTTTGAAGAAAAGTTAAGGATTTTTCGTTCAGTGGTTTTTTACAGTAGCAGTTTGATGTTTATGATCTCTTCAAAATCTTTGCAGTATAATTCAGCGATTATAGCCAGCTTATCTAATTTATCTAACAGTTGCATACTAGCCAGATATCAAGTCATCAAAGTTAAGCATCTCTTAATAATCTTATCATCAATCGTTCTATCAGAACTAGTTAGGTGCTTTGTAACTGATTTGTTAATTCATTCTAAAGTTTCAGAATAAATAGCTAGGTATTTATTAAATGCTGTTTATTCTGAATTTGCACTAATAATTGAAATGCTAGTGCAGGTATAAGTTAATCAAAATTTTTGTCTTATTTCCAAATTATAATTTTTTATCGTGGAATTCTCGCAAGTACTGTCAAGTTTCTAAAGCATAAAATTTGAATATGAACAGTCCAAACATTAAAAAAATGTTCCTCAAAATATATTAGCAAAAAAAGATAAACTAAAATGAACGAGAAAGTAATCATGGATTTACCTTACAACTTGGGCAATCAATAAATTGTGGTTGATCCGAGAGGTATTCTTTAATATTAACCATCATACTTGGTGTATGACTTACTGATCGATGCAACGTAATTGGCGCATTTCGAGACTTTTCGATAGGCATTTTTTGTAAAAATTTACGAATCAGTTTAAATTAGAATCCACCAGAAGCAGAAGGTAAGGGATGAATTCAGAAGGATACTTGTGCTACAGTTTGCTTCCCACAAAAGACTAGTTGAAAAGGTACTTGCATACTTAGCGAGCATTTGCTTCTTCAACTTATTTACTTTGAACTTGTTGACGACACAAACTTGTTCCAATTTTTCAACAGTTCACTGCAAAGTCATTTAGACCGAATTGTTCTCTCTTATGCCTTTTTATTTTGGGTTAACTTGCCACTTGTATTATTACGATAGCTTGCTTTTATCCTCAAATAATGGAACACTGTAGACATGGTTACTTGTTGATCTACCAATAAAAAACTGCTCAAGTTGTAACTGCATTGTGTTTAAGTATTCATACGTCAGAATAATAAGGTAATAATGAACATGTCGGTCGTCACTCGATAATGATGATTTAAGGAAATTCAGGAATATTTGAAATTTATGATATACACATTTGATTATGATGGATTAGTAAGCGAAATCACGTGGTAGTGATTAGGTAGCATTACTTAAAGAATCACTGCTGAGGATAAATAAACGTGGTAGCACTAAATTATATCAGTAAAATGCACTAGAAATCAAGTGCTTAATGAGCTACTCATTTTGAACACAAAAAATTAAAAGCTTTCATTTGAAAATTTATTTTTGTAGAAAAGTTCAAAATTTTTAATGATTGATTTCGTACTGATTAGCTGTGGTACTGAACTGAAACTTCAATAGTATATCAGTCATGGGAATAATACTATAGAAAGATACTGTTTAATCAAATTGGCTGACTTACACGTGAGATTTTAACAAGCTTATTTTTCATCTTCTTGCAATTTTTTTCATAATTTTCATTTTATTGGAAGTTTTTTTCGAGATTTTTCAACTAATCCACTTGAATACTTGGTTAAAATCATTTCACTTCAATCCTTTACTTGAAATGGCTGATTTACTCAAGCAAACGTCACTGATCCGTTCAAAGTCTATTGTAGTAAAAGAGTTTATTTTCAGAAAATGTCACTGATGGGATGAAATTGTTGCAAATCGGTACTTAAACATATGTCTGGAAAGTTCTGCGTTGATGCCTTTTGAGAGGTATGATGTAGTGTGGTTCTGGGCATTGTTGTGAACTTTACCATGTTAATGTCATCCTTAGATAAGTCAGAGTTCAAGTAGAGAACTTGATTCTGCTGTCATAATTTTTCATGCAGTTATTTGAATAGAGCACTTGTTCTTACGTTACGTAGTGTTTAATCTAATCTCTTTAGTGTCTTTCGTCAAAGTAAAGTCTAACTGCAAGTGGACTTTATAAACATATCATCTCGATAATTACCTTTTTAAGTGTGATTTTTTGATTTTGCTTACTCTCCGATAATAGATAAAGCTTGATTATTATATTTTCACTCAGTTTACTAAATTTGTCTTGTTCTTCACTTTACAAGTTTTTATTTATAATTGCCTTTGTTCTCTTCATAATAATTTGCCGTAATATTAGATGATAAGACTATGATGACCACTTTCTCGTAATAAATAATTTAAACATGATATTATTTACTTTTCAGCCATTTAAACGGAAGAAATGGTGAGGGAGACAAAATATTATGATATTCTAGGTGTTGCACCAACAGCAACTGAAAGTGAGCTTAAAAAAGCTTATAGGAAATTAGCGCTAAAGTATCATCCGGATAAAAATCCGAATGAAGGTGAACGGTTTAAAGCCATATCGCAAGCTTACGAGGTAATTTAATTGTCATACGATTTTGTGTGCATTAATTATTATTTTTTAATTTTTCTTAATGATTTATGAAATAATAGGTTCTTTCTGATCCAAAAAAGCGACAAATTTACGATGAAGGTGGTGAAGAAGGGTTAAGTGGAGCTGGTGGTGGCGGAAACTTCCACAATCCAATGGATATCTTCGATATGTTTTTCGGAGGTATTTATTTTTCTTTGAAAATGAAATTACAAGCCTGAAAAGTTTAAAATAACCAAAATTCGACGTTTTATTAATAGTGAAATTTAGTATACGGAGCATGAATATAATTTATCTTCATCTTGTTACTCAATCCTAAGTAGCTTACTTTTATCTCTTGATTGCAACAGAATACTATTATTATCGTTTATTTCTTTATCTACTTGATATTAAATTTAATTTAAAAATTTAGGGCATTTTCGAGGGGGTGAAAGAGGTGAACGTAAAGTACGAGATATGATACATCAGTTGCCAGTTACACTTGAGCAATTGCACAATGGTGCTGTAAAGAAACTCAAGCTTTCACGTAATATAGTTTGTCCGAAATGTCAGGGTATTGGGGGAACGAAGGTATGTTTAGGCTGAAAAGAAAATATGGAGATAGTTAAAGACTGTATTATAGTTTGAAGCATTTTATTGCAACAGTAGACTGAAGATTTTGCGTGTTCGAAAAAAAAAATTGTGTTTTAGGCTTTGTCTATCATTTATTGTAAGTAATCGTAAAAATAACTTGTACTATAGGGCTCTGTGGTTTCCTGTGACGTGTGCAAAGGTAGAGGTGTGCGAATTGAAATCACACAAATTGGACCTGGTATGGTGCAGCAAATGCAATCAACATGTAACGTTTGCAAAGGGGAAGGTGAAGTTATACCTTCAAAAGATCGATGTAAACAATGTGAGGGGAAAAAAAAGGTTTCTCTTTTTTTTTTCTTCATATCATACAGTTCGTTATTTATTTATTGTCTCAAGTAATTTAGCAATTTTATGCTATTTTTGATCGTTGATTTACTAGTTGTTTCAAACCTTTTCAGCAGTCCACTTTGAGACTAATATATTTATATTTCTCAGAAAATGTTTTATTGACTTCAACTTCTATTCGCTGAATTCGTTCTTCACTGTTTAAGAATTAAGAATTAAAATCAGTTTGGATACCAAGTGTTAAAATAGAAGGGCAAGTATTTCTTAAATCGCTTTGTATGATTTTTTTAATATTATGCTTATTTTTAGATTCGAAACGAGTCGTTGTTAGAAGTTCACATTGATAAAGGAATGAAGGATGGGCAAAAAATACATTTTTCAGGGCAAGGTGATCAAGAAGTACGTTCATGATTTTAAAAGTTGATTTTTACAAAACTCAGGCACAGTTTTTGTTACTCGCCTATAATTTCTTATTGTATGAAAGTTTTGAAGCTAAATATCGAGGATTTTCCTTTTTTTTTCACAAAGTCAGAAGATTTTTTGATTCATGAGATTATATACTAAATATTTTTGATTAATCTACGTAGCCATAAGAGCTTTGTTTTCTATCTTTTGTTTGATGCTTTGTAAAATACTTTATTGTATACAAAATTAGCGAAATAAGTTTAGGTTGGGATAACTCCCGGAGATGTGATAATTGTTTTGGACGAGCAGCCACATGATACGTTTGTACGTAAAGGACATAATCTTGTAGTTCAAATTGATCTCGAATTGGTGGAAGCTCTCTGTGGATGTACGAAGTCAATAAAAACTCTCGATAATCGCCATCTCGTATTTACAACACTTCCAGGTACAGAAAGCTGCTTACACTTTTAATTAATCAGTAGATTGTCATCTTAATTATCCAAAAATAATACTAGTCATAGCTAAAGTAAGATAAGTAATAATTTTGTATTAACAAGGGTCTAAAAAAAATTTTTCAGGTGAAGTGATAAAGCATGGAGATATGCGTACAATCATTGGCGAAGGAATGCCTCATTATAAGAGCCCATTTGATAAGGGTGATCTTATAATTCAGTTTGCGGTGCGGTTTCCGAAGAATATCATTAATGTTAACAAACTGAAAAAGTTATTACCTAATGGGAGTGATCCGCTTGTGTCTGATAAAGCGGAAGTTGTAGAATTAGAATTAATTCAAGATCAAGGCTCACGTCATTCTTCTTCTTATGAACATGAGGGGCATGGACCTCAAGGCGTGCGATGTCAAACCCAGTGAAAACTATATTCATGATTTTTTTATATTATTCGAAGACTAAATTGAAAGAATCAAATGCAATAAAATTCTTATTTGCATAAAATGCAGTATTTTGTTAGCAGAGTTTTAGCAGCAATAGCGAATTTTGCTGTCTATTTCCAGAATATTTGATTAAGCTGACAACGCTTCTCAAAATTAAAAGGAGTGCTAAAACCATGAAGTGTGTCGCGACTATCACGTGATTTCTATGTAACCTTGAGACTGTCTTTGTATCTATGTATTAATGTTCATGTTCATGTTGATTAAAGGGTGAATACGTTGCAAGGGTAGGTTGTCTTTTTTTTGCGCAAAGGCTTGTTTGCCTTTAAGGTACAGTAAATGATTAGTTTCACGTGCAATGGGGATGTTGTGCATCATCAAATTTTGTCAATGGATGCATTCACACTTTTGACATGGTGTGTACTTTACTTGGTTCTCTGAATTGTTCTTAATTGATTAGAAGTGACCGGTAAGGACAGCACAACATTTGTTGGTTATCATGAAGTGTGGTGAGTTGGATTTAGCAGTGAGGTATATTTGGTTTCCATAGTAAAGTTTGTTGACGACAAGGAATTTGATTTGCGCTATTAGCAATGGCGTGGGCTGCCCTCTCTGCTTACTTTCTTGCCCTTTCAGCACACGGAACAATCCTCGTACTTGCGTTATACGATATAAATGGTATGTTCTGTTACCGATAATGAATCAGTTGCAATTTCAAGTGTTATGAGCATGATGTTGTTGAACATTCTGTGTTCTTCAAACAAGGCATGTTTGCTATCATTTCGTTTAATCCATACAAATACAATAAAGTCTAATAGTCGTTTTAGGATAATTTCTTTTTCCTGCATAATTTTCTCAAAATTTATGCATATAATAATGCTGTTTAGTTTGTTTAAGAAAAAGTGCAGCAATGTATGCAATAATTATTAAAGATATTTCTTTAAAAAAAATAATTGCATAACATAATAATTGAAGAAATGAATTTCTAATATGTGCAGGGCATAATTAATACAAATTTTACAGAATATGTGTTAGCATCTTTACCTATAACGGATTGGACTACACGTGAATACACAGAAGTAAAAATATCTTTAACAATGGCAATCAGTTTAGGAATAATACTTTGTGCAATTGAAATATTTCTCTTAACATTCCAAATTCTTCCATCAACAAAAGCAATCATATTAATGTGTTTGCATCTTCTGGCAACAATCTTTTTGTTGAAATTTATTGTTGATAGTCACCCATTATCCCACTTCTGGATTGTTCTTGGAATATTTTCTGTCCCCTCAACAATAACTGCATGCTTAAATTTATGCATAACTTTCAAACTGCAATAGTACTGCCCATAAAGTTGAATATGTCGTATTTAATCAATTGTTGCAAAAAAATGCTGCAAAATTTCAGAGTTTGTTAGCGTTTTTAGTATAACATATTCATTGTTAATGATTCTTCCCATCAAATTTGTACCAGAACCAAGCACCATTCACAAAATTACAAGCATGATGAATACATTATGTTATTCCTCATACTCGATTTTTACTGTAAGAGTTCATTATTCTACATTATTATCATCATAATCACATTTGTTTTAAAAAAGATCTATTGCATATCGCGACTGTGAAATATTGACATTACGTTTAGCCTATATGATTTATATAGTAATGTATGACTGGTATGAGTTGTGTGGTATGTTTCGAAATTCTTGAAGTAATAAATAACTTTGTATAATTTAGAAAAATTTTACAGCTGTAGTACAGATTGTAAAAAAAAGCGTTTCTTCTTTTCCGATGTTGTCTCATTATTATTAGCTTCATGAAATTCTATAAAATTATGTATTTCTTGAAATATTTGACTCTTAATTTCATTAATGTCTCTAATTCAGTAAAAAAACATATTTGTCAAGTTTATTTATTTTAAAATTAACCTTCTGGAGAAATACTCATTTTTTTCATACGATTGCATTCCCGTTGATTTCATTGAGAAATGTGATATGTCTAGGGTTTAATATTTATGTATTGCTTCTTTAAACCTTTCATTGTTTAGAAAATGTTTGTTATATGTCTCCTAAATTATTGGTCTTACTATTTCTTGATATCTCGTCTAGATTATTGCTGTTAGCACTGGTTTTCATTTTCAGTTAATTTGATTAGCATAACTTTCTGGAAAGAGACAAAATGACGATGAAAAGAAGAAATCACGGACGTAACAAAAAAGGTAGAGGGCATGTAAGACCTATTCGGTGCACAAATTGTGGCCGATGTGCTCCCAAAGACAAAGCTATCAAGAAATTTGTTGTTCGCAATATTGTTGAAGCAGCTGCTGTTCGTGATATTTCGGATGCATCAGCTTATGATTGTAAGTTTATTTGCTATACTTTCTCGTAGCGTCTTAATTTTTTTTAAATTGAGAACTTTGATCAAAGTAATGTCAAGTATAACACGGAATATGAACTGTGTTTCTAAATTTACTCTTCATTGCAAAATGTTCATAATTACGATTCAGTTTTATGAAAAATACTTGTTTCATGAAAAATAAACTTACAACCTCATGCAAAATGCTTGTCATGTGTACAACTGTGATAAATTTGTGTTGTGCAGCAGAATATTTTCAGATATATTTTCATGATATACATAGCAAATGATTAACATTTCATTCACGTAAACTTTTTGTTTCAGCGTACGCATTGCCAAAATTGTATCACAAACTGCACTATTGCGTTTCTTGTGCTATACACAGCAAAGTAGTACGCAATCGTTCACGTGAAGCGCGTAAAGACAGAAATCCACCTCCTCGGTTTGGTCAGCGTGGTGGCATTGGAGGAGATCGTTTCCCACGTCCTGGTGCTCCAAATCGTCAGTGATTAGAAGTATCATAATGCTTGTCCAACTTTACTATATTTGTGATGAGAATTTGATAAACGTTCAGTATTGTGATGCTCACAATAAGTTTAATCATTTTAGTGGGTGATTATCGATATTTTTTCGTTTCTTCATATAATCCATGATGATTGAATTGTTTCTGACATTACCAACAAGTTATGGCATCTGAGTTTGCAATCATTAATTTCATTTATGTAGAATTTGAAGATTGCATTACTGTGATAACCTGAACGGTTTTGTAGTTTGTAGAAAGACTGATAATATCAGACACCTTGCTAATAATTCTGCTGACATGTTAAGGGATCGATAAATGCTAAGGAATAGGAAGGTGGGGCTTATGCGCTTTTATTGATGGAATTGAAATTCAACAGTAGATGAAACCTGTGTACCAAGTTGTTAAATGTTGTTGCTGGATTTATTCATCATCTATGTTCTATGAAACAGTATTTTATGGCATTCAATTGTAAAACACAAGAAATGTTCGGACAGCAATACAAAATATTGTTATTTACATCTGTGGTGTTATTTTTATGCATAAAGACTTTTTATTCATATCTTCTTCCAAATAGGCAAAATTGTGCTAACAACCATTTATTATAATTAATAAAACGGCATTAAGTGAAACGAAATATGTGAGAACCAGACTTCTTGAGTGGTGGTAATTCATGCTTTAACTATCGAACTGTTTGAATAGTTAAACACGGACTGATTGGTGCGGCTCCAATTGCAGTTTGTACGTTGATAAAAAAACGTTATGAGGCGCTGATTCAACGGTTAAATCACTTCGTTCGTCCTCATCCATTCTTTTAAGCTGTATAAAAAGTCTGGATGAAGCACTTGGTTGATATTCTTTCACTTTTTCATCCAGTTTTTCTTAGAGATACTGATAGGTGGTGACTCTAACAAACAATACATACAAGAAAAATTTTACATGTCCTAATACTTCACGCATTGTTTAGATTAGAGTAAATCATTGAAATATTTGCGTGGTAACCTTTTTCTTGTTTTAGATTCTTCCGAAAGGAATCATGTAATCTGATCTTTAATAAAAGAGCATTTATAATCACAATAATGTTTTATCTAAAAAAGTGTATTTAGAAGATTCTTGAGTAAAGTATTGAATTTCTGGAAAATGTGCTAGGCAGAGGTTTAGAATTTTGTTAGTGAATATGTGCTGACCTTAGGAGAATTTGATGGTGGTATTGAGATACGCCGATTTTTAAAATTAACTCTGTCGCTACTAGGTTTTCTACCACCTTTTCGCTTGCTGATATGTGGATTATCTTGATAAATATTTTTTAGTTTATACATTCGTAATTGAGTATAGACTCTTTTCAGTTCAGCCTGGAAAATATAGAAGTGAAAGTCATTTATATAGGATTTAATATGCGGGGTTTTTTTATAATCATTTAATCCGAATTATGATTAAAGAGCTCAATTTTAGTAGCATATAGTCATATATTATTTCCTTTTCATTTAAAGATTTTTATGAACTTATTATTTGATGGATTATATTGAATAGTAAAGCAAGATTTATTTTGAATTTCATCTTAAATCAGAATAATTTAAATTAGCATTTTTAATGAGACTTGAAAACTTTTACTCTGATGTCTTCTGGATTCATATCAACAATTGGTACATCAGCGAAATCAATTGTGCCATTAAGCAAATTATCACGAAGCTTAGCAAGTGAAGGATGTGCTTTATTGCCACTACTAGCCAAAGTCTGTGTATGCTTTGTGCTTTCAGAACTGACCTGAAAGCCATGGCATGAATTACAGGAACTGAGTTATCACAAACCCATTTCAGAAGACAGAAGTTACTATGAAAGTTTTTCTCCCACTAACTAACTTGATTATAGTAATAATTTCATTTTCACGAAATAGAAGCAGACATTTTTCGAAATAGTCTATTAATAGTTCGTATCTAGTGTAAGGTTTTTCAGTGCAATAATATCATCATCATTGCACAATGAAAAATATTCTTCGTTACAGTAATTGTTATTGCATGGTGAATTACTACTGGGCTTTTAGCACTAATTTATTGATAAACAGTAGTGATAACAATATTTCCTGGTGATATTCTTTATATTAAATCTCATTTAAAAATGTATTAAAATTAAATAAACTTACTAAATAAAATTTCGGGGCTATTATTATGACAATACTAACTGAAACCGTAAGATGTAGTTGTACAAATGTGATCGTTATCAATGTATCACTATGTGCAGAATGGCGGATAGAATATCTTAAAGTTAAAAATATTACCATACAATGTATCAAACTTTCATCTCTGTTAAAGAAAAGAATTAAAAGTAAAACAAGTAAAGTTCACGTTTATTACTTCAAAGCAAATAAGCAGTGATGTAATTAG